ACTGGGCAGTAATCCTTGCTTTGAAAATCTCTAATGGTGACCTTCAGCGTTGAGGAAACTTGATTGTTTTTTTTTGTAAATATTAAGTAAGGTCATGGGATCAAGAAAATAATCTAATTTTTACCAAATTTGCAGCATCACCAAGTTAAAGCTAAATCCCAGTGTGGGGACATGCAAACACGTGTATCAAGGAGGGAGGATGTGCATGGGCTCTGATTGGATGTTATGCATAAGTACGTACATCTTTGTGTGCAGGTGTGAGTGTATTCAGATGCCTGTGCCCGAACGTAAGGGAATGAATACGAGCATAGTTTGTTTCTGTATTCTGTGCAAACAGCTGAAATTCAAGGTATGAGGAAAAAAATTCAAAAGCTTGTCGTCTGTTCAGTGATGGATGAGGTGGAGGATACGATCATGATAAATTACTTGTGCTGGTTGTAATCACTTGTGACTCAGCACCACAGCTACTGACCACAGTGTTACTCTGCTGCTCTGAATGCAGTTTGTGCAGGTGTTTGGTTTTTGACCAGTCTGTGTTTTTGTAGTATTTGCATTTAATATTATGCTTGTTGTACCTTAATCCTAAAAAGTAGAACTAGTTATCTAAATTATTAAATTATGAATCTTTTGAAATGATTATATTTGACGCAGGTAAGAAATTAGAAGGACATCATGCATTTGTCTTGAAAGTTTATGATTTGGTGAAGCACAGATGTAAAGAAAACAGCAAAGCCCTGTCACACATATGATATCACTGTAATTCTGTTTGTCTCTCTCTCATCTGAACTGTCTACAATCATCAACTCGCAGTTTGTGTCAAGTTAGATGCAATGATTGATTATGAATCAGACTTAAAGCTTTAACAATTTTCACCCTTCGTATATTATAATATCAAATTTAAATTTCGGATATCAAAATGAGTAACACATCTTTATCTTTATCTAAGTAATGTTTGGATCGAAATTTGTACACTCAGAAATGTGAGGACCCACCTTTTAGGTGAGACCGTCCGTCCTCTCAGCTGCTCACTGCCCAGCCCCCCTCACCTAACCACGGAAACAATCTTATCTCAGCGAGTTTAATTTTTGAACACATGAACACACTTGAATACATTTATTGGATGTGGTACAACACTCAAAAATGAGGCCTGACATTTATTCATACATTGCTGTATGTGGATGCATCCAATGTACCCGAGTCATGAGTTGTTGTTTGAAGGCAGAGTGTGTGTTTGAGCATAATGTGTAAAGTGGTAAAGTGGTGGACTGTGTGTGTGATGTGTGTGTAAACACTTAATTGTCAGTTGCAGCATTTGGTTGCTGTGTTAATGAATATTTGTATATACTGTATGAGTGTGTGTGTGTGTGTGTGTGTGTGTGTGTTAATGAATATTTGTATATACTGTATGAGTGCGTTGGTGTGTGTGTGTGTGTCAGATCTCGACAGCTCTGACAGTTGGTAAGAAAACTTGTGAGTGTATTGCTTGGCGTTGACAGCCAGGGCCTGAGGGTTGAGCTAGCGAGAGTCTCCTGTCATCCCTCTATGGATCGCTTCTGCAGCCGTGACTGATTATAATCATACATCAACAACAGGTCTCTCTGCATCTCTCTCTGTCTGGATTTAAATACTTTTTCAGCCATGATACTAATTGCTAACTTATTGAAATGACATTCAGGCATGAGGTTATATTTTTTCAATCAGTGAAAAGAACAAATGAATATGCAAAAGTCTCAAAACTTTGAAACTCTCCCATAATCAATAGTTTCACTCTGGTGAATACCTTTGGGCAGCCGGATGGTACAGAATAAAAAGTATTTCTCAGAAAAATCAGGTGTTTCAAGCTTTAGCTGCATGTAAAATACTTACATCATAAATTGATAGAGAATAGTATGATTTTATCCCTCACACTTTGAGTGAGGACTCTTTATAACATGCACTACAGCTGTGAAGCCTTCTCTTAAATAAATCAACAGAGTCTGAGTGATGTTTAAATTGTGAGAAAGTCTGTCCAAAGTTGGCACTTGTAGTTTGGTCCACTCTTCTTTTCACTTATTTGCTTATTCATACTTAAAAGTTTGTCCTATGTCTCTGCAGCAGGGTCTTGCAAGTGTCTGATTGGACAATAGAAACTGGTTACAATCCTTGTAACAACAGGACTAGAAGCACTCAGTTTACCTTTTGAGGATTTTCTTCTTATTTGTATGAATCAG